TAACGGAAGAATTTGAGAGGTGTTGCAGCAGCTGAACCATTGCTGCTTCTGGTATTTTCGCATCTGCGGCTTGGGAACCGCAGATGCGGCGCTGCAGAGGCGACTAAATGGCCGCAGAAGCGGCTTTGCTCCTTTCCCTCAGAAACCGCAGAAGCGGTGCTATTCCCGCATAAGCGGAGCCGCAGAAGCGGCTCAGGCATCGCAGATGCGGCTCCAGCGTTTCTTAGTTTCCGCAGAAGCGGAAGTTCCCCCGCAGATGCGGTTTCGCACCTGCGACCCCCTTTATCGCAGATGCGGTCCCTGGCCTCTTAGTGAAAACCGCAAAAGAGGCTCTTGTTCCGCAGAAGCGGGACCGCAGAAGCGGTCCCTTGTCCGCAGAAGCGGAAATGCCTGTGCAGATATAGAAATTTCGAGGGTTAGATTTCATAAGTTAGAAAAATCAAATTGAGCTCGGGGAATGGCGATTTTTCAGAGGGTTTTGAAGAGAAGACTATTGGGTAACGCCTTTTTAATCCCTTCTAGTTATATTTCATCATTTTGTAGTTAAATCCATCATTAAAAATTCGAATTTTGGATCAAAAAAGGGGAAAATTGGGTGAAACTTCATAGGCTAAATTATTGGGTTTTTGAGTAGGTGTTTGACCTCCGATTTGGGAGATTTTTATATGGTTAGACTCGTGAGAGTACGAGGGTTCTGAAATGTGAAAATTATTCGATTCCGAGGCGTTGGCCTGAAGGGCATTTTGGTCATTTTACCTAATTTCACGCCGTAGCTTTGAATTTAATAGTAAAACCAGTTGGTTGCGATGTTATTCACAATATGTAATTGAATTGAATAGATTTGGGCCATTTGGAGTCGGATACTCGTGGCAAAGGCGTGATTTCTTGTTGATTTTGAGCCGGCTCGAGGTAAGTGGCTTATCTAACCTTGTGTGGGGGACCTTTCCCCTTAGGATATGATATATGGTAATTGAGTGCCTTGTACGTGAGGTGACGAGCGCGTACTTGGGCTAATCGTTGAAAAATCCGGTTTTTACTTAAGCTATTGAGACTGAGTTTCTTTCATATTTGCCTTGTTTTACTTGCAGTTATAACCTGTGTTAGATTAGAAAAGCATGTTTAGTTGATTTAACTTGCCTAATTGTTTAAGTTGCCTTGACTGTACTACGTGAAGCATGTTAGGCTAGTACTACCTGATGCTTGTCTTTTGTACTTCATTTCTGAATATCTTCTGGTTGTGGTTGCGCATTTACATTGGGACTACGGATGTGGGATTCCGGTAGCTCCCCCCTTGTTTGTTTACTTTGGGACTGCGGGTTCGATTCCCGATAGATCCCCCTGCACATTTACTTTGGGACTGCGGGTTAGATTCCCGATAGATCCCTCTGCACATTGTTAGTTGGACTACGGGACGGTATCCCGGGAGATCCTTCGGATATACACATATGATGGACTACGGGACGGTATCCCGGGAGATCCACTGGACAGTTGAGAAAAGGACTACAGGACGGTATCTTGGGAGATCCTCATTGTTACCATTGGTATTGAGCTGTTCTTATTCTGTGGTTGTTCCGTTCTTTGTGTATTTGATATTGCCTTGTTTAACCTGTCTTATCTCACTGTTGTACTCATTATTATTGTCAGTTTTTCATACTGTTAATTTATTATTATATTTTATCTTATGGCCCTGACCTTCCTCGTCACTACCCAACCGAGGTTAGGCTTGGCACTTACTGAGTACCGAAGTGGTGTACTCATGCCCTTCCTGCACATGTTTTTCATGTGCAGATCCAGGTACCTCTACTCAAGCGCACTATCCTTGAGGCGAGGAGATACACGGAGACTTCGAGGTATATCTGCCGCGTCCGCAGACCAGGAGTCTCTATTCTGTTCCAGCTTTAGTACTTAGTTTATTCCCTTTCTCTCAGTTGTTTAGATATTCTGGAGTTAGAGCAGCGTACTATGTTTCTGTTAGCCTGTGGTTCCCGTGAGTTTCCGGATTTTGGGTTGAGATTTTGACTTCCGCGATTTATTTTTGAGTTGTATATGCCAGGCGGCACTTCTTCACTATTTTCCTCTAGTTTTGCTTAATTAAATTAAATGTTTCCCTGAGTTATATAAATTTCCGCATTGTTAGGCTTACCTAGTTGTAGGAACTAGGTGCCATCACGACATGTTCATAGAGGGTGAACTGGGGTCGTGACAAGTTGGTATCAGAGCTCTAGGTTCATAGGAGTCACGGAACACAAGCCGGTTTATTAGAGTCTCGCTGATCGGTACGGAGACGTTTGTACTTATCTACAAGAGGCTATGTAACTGTTTAGGAAAAATCTTCATTTCATTGAATTCCTTGTCGTGCGATATTTTTGGACATCAATTCTAAACTTCTGACTTCTATTCTCTCACAGATGGTGAGGACACGCGCTACTCGAGATGATCAGGCACCCGCGCCCCCTACCGCAGCCGTCAAAGGCCGGGGCCGGGGGAGAGGTCGAGGACGCGCACATGGTGCAGCCTGAGCACCTGCGCGAGCTGTCGCCGAGGTACCACCAGCAGATCCAGCCGGAGCCTAGGCACCTGGCACACCTACTACTGCCACTACTACTCCAGCGCTCCAGGAGACTTTGGCTCAGTTCATGAGCATGTACACCACCTTAGCTCAGGCAGGGTTGCTTCCCCTTGCTGCAGCCACATCCCAGGCCGGGGGAGGAGCACAGACTCCCGTCGTCCGCACTCCTGAGCAGCGAGTGCAGGTTGAGCAGGCTCCCGAGATTATTCCCGCATCGTCTGCAACGCCAGTTCGGCCCGAGGATGGGTCAGCTGCTTCAGAGGACGAGCAGCGGAGACTTGAGAGGTTCAAGAAGTATAATCCCCCAGTGTTCAGTGGATTAGCATCAGACGATGCCTTGGGATTTCTAGAGGAGTGTCATCGTATTCTTTGCACTATGGGCATAGTGGAGTCTAGCAGGGTTTCTTTCACTGCTTTTCAGCTTTGGGGAGCCACCTATGATTGGTGGCGCACTTATGAGATAGACAGTCCAGTCGAGGCTGCTTCACTGACTTGGACCCAGTTCTCGGATATGTTTATGAGAGAGTTCGTTCCCCAGAGTCTTAGGGACGCGTGGCGCGCAGAGTTTGAGCATTTGCGCCAGGGTGCTATGACCGTTTCAGAATATGCTATCCGTTATACCAGATTGGCCAGGCATGCACCGGCATTGGTTGCTACAGTTCGGGAGAGAGTTCGCAGGTTCATTGAGGGTCTTATTCCACCCATCAGATCTAGCGTGGCTCGAGAGTTGGAGATGGACATTCCTTATCAGCAGGTAGTGAGCATTGCTAGGAGGATTGAGGGTATGCTCGCCAGGGAGCGAGGGGAGAGGGAGGCCAAGAGGTCTCAAGAGTTGGGTCACTACTCTGGTGCCCGTACCCCATCAGCAGGTCGTTATGGCAGAGGTTATACGGGTCGCCCTATTCATTCAGCTCTTCCAACAGCCAGCAGTGCTCCAGCTCCACCTACACCTACACCTCAGGAGCCTTAATATGCACCTCCAATTTCTAGCGCGCCTCCTGCGCGGGGTGCTTCCAGAGGTCAGTCCAGCAGACCTGGCCCTAGTCAGTCACAGCCACCGCGCCCTCTCAGAGCTTGTTTCGAGTGTGGTGATACACGCCACATGGTTAAGGACTGCCCCAGACTTGGTAGGGGTGCATCTTCACAAACTGCTCAGCCACAACGTGCTCCTCAGAGTTCTCAGGCCATGGTCACAGCTCCAGCTGTTACCCCACCTGCCCAGCCGGCTAGGGGCGGAGGTCGGGGAGATAGAGGTCGCCCTCGAGAGAGGGGCCGGGCCAGATATTATGCTATTCCTGCTCGTACTGAGGCTGTTGCCTCTGACTCCGTCATTACAGGTATTATACTGGTTTATCACAGAGAGGCATCAGTTCTATTCGATCCGGGCTCTACTTATTCTTATGTGTCTTCTTACTTTGCTCCGCATTTGGGTGTGCCTCGGGATTCTTTGAGTGCC